CCGTATCGTGGAGCAATGGCAGTAGGAAAAACAAATCGAACTTTTTCAGATTCAGCATCATGTTTTAGTTCGGTTACATATGTAATTCTAATAACAATCGTTTGATCAGGTGTGATATTGCCAACGGAGCATTGGAAAATATCTGGGTGTTCTTCTTCAACGAGATAAGCCCCATGACCTTGCTGCATAAACAAATATTATGTAAACATTGTGTGTAAATAAACTGTACTTACATACGTACACAAAGTAACATAGATATAGTTAATTCATGCTATATACCTCAATAGCCTCATTATATTCTTTCGCTGCCTGTTTTGCTTCTTTAACTATTCCTTTAACTTTTTTCTTTCCATCAATTTCAGCTTCAAACCCACATACTGCAGCTGCTTCATAAAGCGGGAATTTGTAAATGGCTTCAATAGTATCCTTTTCAACATTTTTATATGTCTGGCAAACCGTTGCTAGATTAAACAAACAAGGGTATTAGTTGCATTAAATATAATAAAACTATAATAATATTTAAATATGAAATTTACTTTCTGCTATCATATCAACAACTAATTAAATTTAAAAAGAATATTAGCGACATAAAAGTATATTGTATGCAACAAATTGTATATGTGTAAAAAGAGACTTTACTGTTCGCCTCAACAGAAACATTTTGCAAAGGAACAGGATTTGGATTATCCTCTACAATACAAATAAGCCCGTATAGTTGCATCTTTTAATGAACAGGATTATTTAATTGTAATAGCGTTAAGTCTGAACTCGCACCGCTTTATAGCAAATTTAAGTCTGCTGTATATATATATAAGTATTATATAAATATTACGTATGCACACAAGTACTATGATGTTATTAATAATATCTTGGGCTTATCGAAAATTGAATTATTTCCTAACGCTAGGCATTTTATGTGCATGTTTACGATCATTGGGTAACGTTAATAGTAAAAGTGGTTAATAGTAAAGTGGTTACGTAGCTAAAATAGTGAATTTGGCAAAATCAA